GGGGGGGGAGGGGACATCTTCAAATAAGTTTCCTTCGATTGTCTATAAACTGCTCATGCAGTCTGGCCAAAGTCCCCCGAAAAGTGTTGTGATGCGCATTTGATCATATCCACATGTTAATTTGCGCAATATAAATATTAAATTATTATTATTTATTATTATAATCCCACTTTTACGATGCTATTTTAAAAAGATGCTAGGACTAAAAGGATATGAAAATAGAATAAATCGTTCAGAAGGGTAAAATGGTTAATTATCTCATTGATTTATATCCACATACTGTACCAGTTTGAACGATGTGACGTCTATCCTAAAGATTCTTTCAGGTCATAAAAAACTATAATATTGAAAATGTAGTTTTTTAAGATGATTGAGATTTAGATGAATTCTGTTTGATGCGAGGATTTGGCGTTCACAAAGTAAAACTCCATTCTCACCAGCAAAACATTTGTAGTTAAACCGAGTGCAAGGTGATTCCTTAGTACTGTACTCCGCATCCTGTGCTGCGCACAAAAATCACGAAATCAGGCGAAAATGGGCGCGCACTTTCCAAGAACACGGAATTGCTCCTCAATCAATGGACCATGTAAAAAGGTGCAATGGTCTTTGGCTCTTGAGCGATTACAGTGACCTACGTTTCTTAGTGCATAATTTTGCTGTACAAATTATGATCATCCCATAGAAAAAAAGATAGAGCTAAAAGCGTGTAAGAAGGGCGTCACTTGAAAGTCGTCTCGAGGGACGTTTTGAATCGATGTCGTTTCAAATTTTAACCGTTGGCCACAAAAGCCATCACCACACTAAGACCCTCCTGGAACTGAAATTATCCTATGTCACTCTTGAAAGAGGAATAAGGTCTTAAAGAAAAAAAAACTCCCTCTGGAGTGATTGCAAACTGTTTCCACTAACTTTTTCTATTTAAACCGTAGGTCTCTTAGAAAATAAGACAACAATGTAAAACAAAAATTAATTAGCTATAAAAATGAAAATAACAGAACGAACTGATATGAATATATTGAGGCAAAATCATTTTCTTTGTTATCTACCGATAACATTTACTTCACATCATTGACACCAAATGTCCCATCCATATCTGACGTACTGTAAATGGTGCCGATGAGGAAAAATATTCACTATGTCAATAAGCATGAAGCGAAATATTCGATCCGAAACAAAATGAGTAGGATCCTTTAAGCACGAATTTTGATTATACTCCTCTTTACATTCTTCTAGCTGATATAAACATAAGCGAATCGAACCTGTATATCACGCTGCCAAATTTTAACCATATAGAAATGATAAATGAGCTTATACTGAACAAATTACAATTAAAGTAGCCTTTAGAAAGACTCAAAAATTCCTCAAAACATTAATATAGCAAGCGCTGTACATTTTAAATCGAGCAGGGGTAAGATAACTTCTAAACTTCTAAAACTGTAAAATGTGTTTAATCCCATCTTTATAATTTACGTAGAAATAAAAACTGAATAAAACATTAAGGGAATGACATTTTGTAGAAAGTTTGATTGCTTGGCCTAATCAGATCTTTGCAAAGATGAAATAACAATGTAACTTGGAATCTCTCGTGATAGTAAACCTCAGCTTGATTTGATAATGGATTTTAGAGAATGTTCTCGAGAGTGAGGGTGCTTGGCACTGATTGTGAGGTCGTGGTACAAATCAGTCCTTTTACTTTCTCCCTGAAGTTTTGGCTGGACAGAGCGTAAACAAAAGGGTTGACGGCGGAGTTGAACAAAACCATCGTATTAGAAATGACCACAACGACAGGACTTATTTCGTAGGACGTGAAGTAAAGTAAATTGTACAGCACTTGGATGGTGCCCCAACAGATTGCAAATATTACACTGACAATCACCACCATGAAGGTGACTCGTTTCCGAACCCTCATCACACCCTGAAATTTGAAAAGTACAGGGCCCAAAATTAGAAAAATTTGACAAACACTCGATGTGTAAGCACTAATGCCGTGCAAACTAGCAACTGGAATGTGGCACAATGCTTTAAAGCAAAACAACACGCATTACTTTTTAAGTTTGGTACATCCTTTCAAAAGCAGTTTTATCTGGAACAATTCGTGTTAAACATTTAGTGTATCGAGCACGGCGTATATTTTAAGCGCGCTGATTAAGCATTATGCGAGAACTAGTACTTTTGTTCTGCTAGTTAAGAAAAACGTTCTACATCAGGTCATAAAAGTTACTTTTTGTTGATTGCTGTCATGATTGCCATCGCTTTTTTTGAACCATAAGGTGTGTACCACTCTTGAATACAACACGGCCATCACCAGCAGAGGACCAAATACTACGACATCGACTGCCAAGGTCATAACTTTTGGAATCCACTCTAATCCAGTCCACGTATCCATGCAGATAACGTTGGTTACCTTCATGCCCAAGAACATCGGGCTGACGAATACCAGTGAGAAGAGCCAAGAGGAAATTATAATGATCTGAAATGATAAATTGTGAATTTTGTGATACTGACTAGCTCCGAAAAGCAAGATGGTCATCACATAAGGTTCGAGGCCTAATTGTAACTTACCACATCATACTTTTAACCATCTCGTTACCAAAAGTACCGATTTATGTGCAAACAAATGACAAGTTCAGTGCAAAGTTTTTCTTATTTTAGTAAAGAATTGGTCCATGCTTAGCGTACGTATATCGAGTTATGGATGCATGCTCGAAGTTAAGAGAGCACGAGAACAACTCTAGCTTCTTGAGTACTCTCCAAACTTCCTAAGTGCATTCATAACTCGGTATTCGCACACATAAAGCATGAGCCGATTATTTTATGACATGGCGTACACACACAAGTAGTACTCGAAAAAGAAGAGTCTATTACAACTGTGCCGGATTTTCTGGAAAATCGTGTTCCACCCGAAAACTATAAATAAATGATAAGGCTAGACCGACTAAGAAATTGTTCGAGACCAAATCTTAGAAGCGGGCTATGGGTTGAGCACCGTATTGACTTCGGAGCGTGTCAAAGTAAATCAAAACAAACGTCATTTGGCAGAACAAAACGCATTACAAAAGTTTACCTGCCCTTCTGCAAATCACCAACATGCGTGACGTCCTAATGGAGGGGATGCCTCGACCATGCCCCCTCCCACCTGGATATGGATGCTTAAATTCAATTTTCATGAAATGATTCAATTTAACGTCAAACATCAAACCTTGAGAGACAATTGTATTTTTTATTTTTTTTTTTAATTTGCCAGGGATTCTGTTACAAACCTTCACTTTATGCTTGGTAAGGTTCCATCTGTTACCAAGTAGGAACATCACTGCATAATGTCGCTCAATCGCGATGGCAAGCAGAGTACAAACTGAGGACACTGCTGAAACCCATGCAAAGATTCCACCCGTTAATAACTTGCAAAGAACTGTACCAGCTGGACCGTCTGGGTGCTTTACATAGAGGCTTACGATCAGTTTAGGAGTGATGAACAATGCGAACAATATGTCCGCGGTAGCCAGGTTGAAGATCAGAAGATTTATGGAAGTCCTAGATAATTAAGAAAAAAGAACAACAGTAACCCATATAGCTAGCGTTTTAGTTTTGGGCTGTGTGATTGCCTGTTTGAAATAGATGATTTTGTTACGATGCTGTTGAACTGATGACTGTTTGGACTACTACAGGTGATACATTTAGATCCAGCTACCCTTCTTTTCGTCTTTTTTTATCGTCAAAAATAAAATCTCGGAACCTTTTACTGAGTAAATAATTGATTTCACTCCGTGGTTCCTATGGTAGGCTCGATTTCCGCAGCTCTCTCGCGTTCCGTCTTTTTCGTTTCTCCCAGAGAAGAGACGGCTAGACGCACGAGCGGCCATCCATGTCTGTGACGTAATTTGAAAATATTAATTGCTGCGTTCTCAGATGTCACCGAAAGTGAAATAGGACTCCAATTCGATGGATGGCGTACATATAATCGCTAATACGCCGACTAAATTTAGCTCGAAAACTGGATATGTCTTCTGTGGCTACGAAGAAAAAGATCCTAGGAAGAAATCCAAGGTGTCTGATTAGCGGAAAAGGATTTGCAGCGTATTGGAGATTCCTCTTTCTCATGAAAGGTTACATTTGTAACGATCGCTGCTATCGACAAGTCAAGCGCCTTGAAAGGCTCCGAGAAGATACAAATAGCCTTCATCGTTCGCTGTAGGAAAATTTTGAAACGACTAATGGAACGAAGCGTGGCGTGTTGCCGCACCGTCAATGCAACTTTGCCACGCTGCAGATCAAGGAAGAGTTAAGGCTGCGAAAAACTTTCATTTAGAACTCATTTAGAGCTGCACTTTCAAGAAGAAATAAAACTACACTGAGAAGTATCAAGTGGTTCTTTCAAGGGGTCCAGATAAAGTGGTTTCTTTTTAATCTCTGTAGTCTAGTGAACTGCTTAGGCCTACTCTAGGGCCTTAAGTCGCCGTAACTTTGGGCGACTTTGGGCGATTTAAGGCGACTTAAGCAATTTAGCAGAAAAAAATTGCGATTTTAGGAGACTTAAGGCAACTTAAGGCGACTTAAGACGACTTGAGGCAACTTAAGACGACTTAAGACGACTTGAGGCAACTTAAGGCGACTTAAAGGGATTTTATTTGACTGAAGTGATAAAATCAAAGTTAGCAACAGTCTCTCCATAAACCTTGAAAATATTTACAGAATCCCTTGCAATAAACACAATAGTCATTTTGGTTACTTTTGTATGCTCATAAGTCACCATAGTCTAAAATATCCAGATTTCAAACTAATTTACCTAAAAATAATGAGACAGAATTACCACAACAGCTATTGTTAAATTATACAGTCAAAGCTAGTGAATAGATAGCCAGGAATACTTTATGGGTTATATGCCCAACATCAAACAAACCTATCAAAAATATACACTTAAAGACACACATTTTTAATTTCAGAAAAGAGACATGATTTACATAAAACTATCAATACATTTCCCACATAATTAATTAAAAATAACTTGATTACTAATCATTTCACAAAGCCTCACAAGTTATAAAAATTGTTATCTTCAAGTTGGCAAACTTGTCTCCCATACTTTTGCCACTTGCACTGTCAATTTTGGCATGAAAGTTTGGCAAGTCGCATGTCTTTCCAACAGCATCCAAGTTGCACAGTCCTTTTCGGGGACTCAATCAATTTGTTGTTTTCCTGCCTCAGTTAGACAAAACACTCCAATACCATACTGAGAACTACATGCTAAGGTCTTTCTCCACTGTTGATCGGAACAGCAGGACCTTCTAAGCACTCAAGTTTTATCTTTAGACTGGTGGCAGTATTACAGGTTTAAAAGCATTCATTGTTACCTCACACCTGTCCAGAAACTAACGAGTCACAACGAAATCCTCCAAGCTGATAACTGGCTCTGTAGTCTCCACCATTTTAATTCTCCCAGCAACCTATGCGCCGCTAACTAGTTTCCATGCTTTGAAGTTAAGAGCGGGACAACATTTTAGGGTTTCTCTCGCCAAGTACGCCTATGCTATCTGCTATTACCGAAAAATTTCCTTTACTTTACCTCGAATTTACCAGTTCTTTCCGCAATGCAAGCAGGTAGCCAGTCAATAGACATAAGGCGGAATTTTTCGGTGGGTACGGATCGGAAAGAATGCAGGCCATAATGATAATCTACTCCACGAGGGAAAAGCACGTGCGTGGTGTTTTCATTGAAGCGGTCGCCCGGTTTCACTTTCAGAGTGAATTTTTTTAAAGCTCTTTGATTAATTTTTTTCTTCGCACAGATAAATTTCTCTGTATACGTTTCAGCAGGCTCGCGTGCGTGTTGTTCTCACGTGCACTTTGGTCATGGGACAGGCTTAAGTCACGTGATCAAATATTTCTGGCAGCCATGTTGGCTGTAAAAGGCTTTTTTCGGCTCAGAAGTAGTTCATGTGTGTTGATCATCAAACTGACGAAGAAGATATGTACAAAAAGACTAACAAAGTCTCAGGAAAGATAAATATTTACGCCTTTAGTAGGTTCGTCGAGCTACAAAGTTGAAATGTTTTCAGTTGGTCGAATACTATGGTGGAAGTAGCTAGTACAGATCAATAAGTTTATGCTGGAGAAATGGCCCACTTTCGTCATTGAAANATCTGATGAAATATCGAAAAATGTCCATTTCTCGTCTTCTTTGGAGCGACCTGATGGAAACTTCATGGAAAAATCCAGCGTCACATTAATTATGCATTCATTTTATAAAGACTAAATATAGAGGTTTCTTTGCAAAACTCTGTGCATAATTAATGTATGGGGTTATATGGGACTCTGGCCAATAGCTGTTTTAGTAAGAAGATGGAAGAGTATACATTGTCATATTTCCTACATCAGGATTGTCTACATGTAGGAGTTACCCATGCCAGCATAGGGGCTTGACAGGTGCATGACTATTTTCATATGGGGTTTCTATGTATATGGAAGCCATTGCCCACCTCACAATAACAGTGTTAAACTCATAGTCCATTGCAGGGTTACCTCCCCCTACCAACCAGTACCCACATATACAGCTGGAAAAGGTGAGGCACTTTGAGCTTACAGTATCTTGCCCAATAACATAATGAAATGCTCCAACACTAGACCCCAAAACTGGACTAATGTCAAGTCTAGTGCACTAACCATTCAGCCGCCATGCCTCCTCTGATCCTTATGATTAGACTGCAGTGAATAGGGTCAATTGGGATTAGGGTGGAACCCTCCTCCCCGTTAGCTCAGTTGGTTAGAACACAAGATTGTGATGTGTGGGAGGTCGAGGGTTTGAGCCCCAGCCAGACCAATACTCATGGTCTTAAAATAACTGAGGAGATTTTGCTACCTTTCTATAATATCAAGAAATGGATAGATATTCTAGTCTCCTCGGATAAGGACGAATAAACTGTAGGCCCCGTCTCCCGCAGGGTTAAGGGTAGGAGATGTTAATTTCCCATGCACGAGGTTACTGTGTGGTGGATGTCCTCCCCTTGGGTGGGATGGGTGGGTATTTGGGGGATGGGCGGGAAGGTGAGATTGTTACGGAAGCAGCTGCCAGAGGCGCCTGATATGCTGACGTCCGATCTCAGTCTTAACAACAATATCTAAAAAGCGCTATTGATCAGCACATGTAAATATGGGCTATATAAATTTGTAAACTACGAATTATAATTATAAACCCTTAGAACGTTGTTTAACCAGTAGCGACTTAAGGTAACTTAAGGCGAGTTAAAGCGACTTAAGGTGACTTTAGGCAACTTAAGGCGACTTAAGAGCGTGTCTCTGTAATTTCCGACCACTCGAAATTAGTTCAAAAAGAAATCTTGCCTTAAACTTTGCATGTGGATAAGGAAACCATTACCTATCATCGGAACAAAAGTGGTTTCCCTCAGATTTCAAAAGTTTTTTATTTTTAACAATTTCCGCGCGTAGGTCAAATCGTAAAATTGACATCATTTGTGTACACAAAATGAGTAATCTTTATTATGATCTCACGCTGTCAAAAATGATTCAATACAAGAGATATTCTGCAATACAACAGTTTAATACATCAACTTTCCAAATGTGATAACAAAGGTAGAGCATCTGGATAAATGTATACACTGTCGTTACGTCAAATATGCCACTACTCGACTAAGCCGAAAGTGGTACTTTTTAAATTGCGATTTCTCCTTACTGGGACAAAACTAGATACCAGGAGTTACACACACTAAACAATCGTCTATGAGAGCACTATATTCTGTAAAAATATCCATGGCTATTATCGCAGGAAAAAATAAAGCGAAGTAGAAATGTGGGGTTTTCACATACCTGTACGGCGCCGCTTTCGGTAAATTACATTCGTAATTATCCACAATGAATCACAAAATAATCGCAGATGAACTGCTCGGTGCACTTACTAATACTGTAGAATGTCTCTAAGTCGGGTTTTATTGTCCGAAGGTCCAAGGATTCCAAGGATTTCTTTCCGGGTGCGAGTCTGTAGGAATAGGCCCTTTGCAGCTAGAGTTCATGTGCTTGGATACTGCATAGCAACACAAAACTGGAGAGCAAGCGCTCCAGTAAACAAATCTCTTTAGCGGTCAAGCATATCTGGCTTTAGACAATAGTTTTCTGTTCATTACGCTCAATCCTTTTGCAATATCTACAAAAACTTTAAGATATTTACTAAATCTCTCAATTGGACCCGATTTTTGGATGGAAAGTACGAAATTTTTCTTGAAATCGTGAAAAAACTGTCACTAACAACCCGCTAAGAAACATGGCAGCTTCGCAAGGTATGTACTTAAAAAAATATACTTTTTTCCGCTCTTTTTAGTTATTGGACTTCTAAAGTCCATAAAAATAAAATATTAGATCGAAAATAGCAACCGAGTGGAATTTTACGGCATTTTACGCCCGATTTCTTACGATATTATGAGAGTAATTATGCGTCTTAGATTGAGACTAAACGAATGCTAAAATTCACGATGTATACAAAACATGGACAGGGGTCCATGGACCACTCCTATGGACCGGGTCCA